TATTCTTATTAATAGTTATAATTTAAAATATTTAATTTATTTAATTTATCTTTTCAATTTGGTTAAATTTTTAATTTATTATATATCTAAATTCATCACTTGTTCTTCCTGAAGTCATAAACTTTATATGTTTTTTTTTTTTTGTTTTTATCTCATCATTTGTTCTTCCTGGTAACCAAGAAGCTTCGGCAGTCATGAAACAAAAACATTTGTTTCTGTTACTCTTGTCGACAAGTTATTATCCTAGGCGAGCATCCGATGCACCAGGTGAGGCCAAGCTTTCAACGTATGGAATCATAGCAAACTTGCCAAGGCCATGGACTTCAATCTTCGTAACCATTGCGTCTTTGGGATTGTAAAGAAATAACTCCGCTGTATCGCTGTCTTCTTGTGTCTCCTTGCTGTATTCTTTTGTCAAAACTTGTCCAGCAAGCCATTGTCCCCTGAATAATTACCAAGACTATTCACCTGAGATGCAAGCTTGGTCTCACCTAAGATGCTCACATAGGACGATAACTTACCGGCTGGATTAACGGTGAAACACAGCATTATTTTCAATGGAATACTTGATGTCATCATTTACTTTTGTTTAAATGTTTTTGTTTCGTGAATCAATGGATTTTATTTAATTTGATATTTTTATTTCTTAGTTATGTAATAATGAAAAGTACAGTGTCTATATCATCTTCTTTTTATGAGTAAATGATACATGATAGAATAGATTTCACGTCAGTTTTGAGTTTCATGTCATGATGCCTTAATCCATGTTGACAAGTTGAGGAAAAGCTCAAGCCTCCTTAATTTTCTGTCTGCTCAAGCTCCCTCACAAACCTAATTAGACTACCAAAAAATAGAAGAAAACCAATTTTAACATAAAATGCAAATTAAATAAAAATCCAAGCAAGAGAGAAATTAAGCCCAATTATAACAAGACTAATGCAAGAGAAAATGAAGGCTGTGATATTGTTTTGATCCTATGAATATTCTGTGGATATATAGTGGTGAGCAGGTGGACTGCCAGTGCTTCTTAGTTACCAAGAAGAACAAATTATAAGATAAAAACTCGTAGAACACCCACCTAAAGAAGCATCTGGTTAGCTTGACTAATTTTGGTCCAAAAACCCACAACTCCCCATGACTAGATGGTTCAGTTGAGGGTACTAGGCTAGAAGCTCAAGTGAGTCACTACTCTTCAATCCACCAGACCAAGGGAAATTACTAAAAATCTAATATCCAAACAACGTGGGAGGTGAGGGATTCAAACTTAGTCTCAACATGAGCTTTCAACTTGTATACTTCTTTTAACCAAGCTGAACATTGGTGCTACGCAAGGACGAAAGCTATTGGTGCCATGTAACAAGAATAAACAATGAACTCAATGCTGGACAGTAAAATTATCTCATGAATCTAAAACATTGCACTAGTTATACGACCAAAAAGCGTATAGTAGAACAAAAGTCTCATTTGAGAAGTAAATGGAGCAAAAGTTAGAAAAAATGATGTGCAATAGTCACATGGTTTCAATGATGTGCATTCTTAAGAGTCGAACAGGAAGAAAAGTTGCTTTACATCCCCTACTGCACCATCAGCATGTATCAGGAGCTTGACACCATTAAAAACAGAATTAACAAATGATTGGTAACCTAAAAACTTGAATTTGAAAATAATTGAAACAAAACAACCTACCAAAAAACATTCCCATTCATTGGTACAGTAGGACTTCAGCCACACTCCTATGGCTATGATCAACAGCTGAAGCAACAGAGAAAGTACACTTGAACTCTTCTTTAGAACGCCACTGGAAGTTCACCCTATTATCAAAGCCAAATCTAACACCTCCTTGAACAGCATTAGCAACAAATTGACAAACCCAGCTGTCCGTACATCATCTCTTCCAAATGGTGCTTATTATAACATGATGTACAAAAAAATATATAATTTAATTAATATTATATAGTACCATATCATGATTGTATCGGTTGCTCTGGTGATGAATGACCATTTTGTGCTAATCCTTAAAGTTCCACCATCATCTTGCAAGGAAAATTTTTTGTCAAATACTATTGTAAAAAGAAAAAGAAAATTGTAAAACAAATACAGTATAATCTTACTTCGATGAATTGGAGAGAAATCAGTAAGATTTTCGATGTCTCCGTTAAATAGCTTGCCTCAATTGAAATAAGATAAGGGTATTCCTCCTTTGCCATTCTTCCCTTCATACTTCTACAAGGAAACTTAACACAACATGATTGTTATCTACAGAAATGTCTTCCTCAGAACCTGAAATCAGATAATCAAAGTTCATAGTGCATGATCTTTAGAAATAAAGAATTACGCAAGATTTAAAGAAACATAATGCCTCTGATACAAGGTTTTTAAAACCGGACCGGTCATTGAACCATTTTCAAGTCTGGTTCTTGATTTAATCGGTTCAACCGATTGAACTGGTGAACTGACCGGTCCAAACAGCAAGGAAGATTTGATGAGAGGAGCAAGCTGCAGGCATGGATTTTTTAATTTGGTGTTGATAATTTTGTAATTTTGTTAAAATTAAAGGTTAAAATGGGTATAAGAAAGCAATGGGAATGGTGAAATTGGAAAAAATTGAAAGAAGATTGCATGAGAAATTGAACCGGTAATTTTTTCGGTTTCATCGGTTTTCACCGGTTTTTATCGATTTTTTGACTTATTTTGATCGGTTTTGACATCAAACGATTTTCTTATATAAACCGAACCATTTTCATCACCGGATACTGATCTGATCGGTTCAATCGATCAGTCCGATCCGGTTTTAAAAACCTTGCTCTGATACCATGTAAAAGATAATGCCTCTCTCTAGGGTTTTCATTATTGTAAAAGAGTATTTATACATGTGGTATATTATAGGAAATACCCTAACTACCCTTTACAAGTATACAACTATAATATATACATTATCAGAAAAGTACCTTTCTTTTCATCCTTTTCAAAGAGGAAAGACAGTGGACAAATGTGATTCTCACCCTCCAGCAGCAGAAGTAATCTCTCTATAATGTCCTCTCCGTTTTGGAGAGGAATTTCCTTAGACTCAAGAGTTCTGTTACCGTGGAGGTTGATAGCTATTGGAATGTTGGGAGATGAAAACACCAAGGAGAGGATGCGATCCTGAAACTCCAAGAAATCAACCCTGGAGAAACTCTGGGCAGCCATAGCTTTCAATGTGAAGCGGTCAGTAGAGGGAGGCCCTGTTACTGGAACAAGAATAGTTTTCAGAGCAGACAGAAGTTTGATGATGATGGCACGGTCTTGGTTTAGAATATGAACAGAGGAAGCCATTGCTGTTGTAAAGACTGTAAAGGTGAAGCCTTCTTCCTAATAGAATCTGGTTTGTGAAAACGGTAGAAAAAATTATTTCTGAAATCAAGATTGATAGAGAGTTGGAGGGTGAAGAAGACTAGCGAGGAAGAGCGCGGAGAAGACTAGCGAGGAAGAGCG